AAACTGCCATTATATTTAAGGAAGATATTTGATATATTAATTTTTACCCTCAGGCCTCAGATATGGCTTGTAAGAACTCCTAATTAAAACTAGCCATTGGAGAAAAGCGACTCTATAAAGAGATAAAAATGAACTCCACGTTACTTGAAAATATTATATAAGCATAAAAGAAAGGCCAAGAAATACCATGAAGGCTGAAAAATTAGTTTTTTTTTCCCTCTCACTACACTTAATAATGGACTATGATAAAATTTCAGTCCACTCTGGGGTCCTATAAGTTAAAAAAAAAAAAAAGCGAATGATCAGAGAACAGAATGGGACCATGCTCTACAAGAAGTAGGTCCAATGCGTATTCTTGGTATAAAGACCACAGCTCAGAACTGTGTCTCCATAGCACTTGCTTCTTCACACACCGAACAGATTGTTCTAGGCTATGGTTAAATGGCCCCAGATCCAGGCTAATAAATCACACACAAAACATATCATAAAATTTAAATATTGACTTGATAGACACATAGCTCCCAGTTAAAAGTGTTTCCATCAGAAAATATAGTTTGTAGTAAAACAGACAAAATTTTTAAGAAAAAAAAATATATTAGCATGCCACAAATAATTCTGAAAGAAAAGATTATTGTGAAACCCCTTAGGTATTGCTCAACAAACCAATTAGCTATTCGTTGCCTGCAGTGGTACTTACGCTAACTGGAGTATTGTTGTAAATTAAAGGAAAATTTAAAAATGTTTTTCCAGCTTTAATTTTAATGTAAGAATTTACTGAGTATGTGGTGTGAAAAGTTAGTATTGGATAAATATGGGTAGTAACTCATACCTTAAATTCCTCCAAGATTTTGTAATTTTTCCCATGATATTCACAAAAGTTTTTCACTTCTTTGCACTCCGGACAGCATCCATTGTGTTCCACTTTAGTACACTTTGGGTGAATTTTAGGGCATTCTGGCTGGTCGCAAACAGGTCCATCCAGAGCACAGACACATGGACAGTTGGAATGCCCTGGGAAAAATCGTTCTCCCAACTTGTATACAAAGCCACTGTCATCCACACACCCTTTCCCTCGATAGTCATCAAAAATCAAATTGTCATTACTGGAGGTCTGGTCACCTTCATCAGCAGGATAGTCTTCATGACTGATGGCAGCAGATGTGACCAATCCAGGGATGACCAACAGAAGTATGCAAGCTTCATGAATATGAAGAGCCATCCCCCTCCTCAAAGGCTTCTGGATGTGCTCCTAATACTGAATATAGTCGGCTCCTTCCATGGGGATACAAGATGGGAAGGCTGAAAATAAATATTTAAAAAACATAATTTGACATATATAAAGAAAATATAGATTTATTTAAGCCTATGCTCTTAACCTGTTTATTTGGGATCTGTTTGAGTGACACACCTCATCTACACTTTATTTTGAAGTCTGGAGAGTTGATCCTGACAATTTATATGGAGCTATTACACATAGGAACCTTCAGTTGGATTTACTTTCTGAATCTGAAAGGTCTGGCTTTGTCTAAATTGTAAGAAGTGATTTTACTGAACTTCAAAAGTTGATTTTACAAGTAGTTATTTACAAATAACTCAGAATAATTGAACTCATACTTTCTATTATTCTTTAAAGTGTATTAGTCAATGAAAGAATGTATATGTGTTACAATCATCCGTATAAAAACTCAAGAGATTCATGAGAAAAATTCTACTTCTAAGACAAAGGGAAGAAACCAACAATTTAATGTACATAATTGGAATAGAGCTAATATAAAAGCATTCCTGCTTCTTTATGCAATAATTAGAAAACAATGATCCGTACATGGGTTACTTGTTTCAGTCAATATAAATCTGAATTTTGAAACATAGCTGAGAAGAAAAATAGCATAACTATTCCACAATGAATAAGAGAATAAAAATTTAAAACAATAAATGATTCAAGAGAACTCCCTGTATTTAAAATAATTTGTTAAAACTAAATTTTTGTGTATTATTGTCCACACCTTTATTTTACTTAGAGAGTAAGCTCCTAGTGGGCAGGAAAAATGTGTCAGGGAGTTTTCTAGAGCAGGTTGAATCTAGAATTCATGTAATATTATTTGAATGGATTACATATATAATAAATACCATTCAACAGTCTTGAAAATATATCTCTCTTTATATATGCCAAAGATATTTTGCACAACAATGCCAGACTAAAACTATTTATTGGTTTCACAGAATAGCAATGACATGTTGCCATTCACAGAAAATATGCCTTTTTAGTTTGGTGGCATTGATTCTTGTAAACTTCACTTAGTATTAGTGCTTGTGTGGAGTGCTGCCCACTAGCAGCTCATGTTTAGGGGGTAATAGGTAAGGAACAGTATTGTCAGATATTAATTTGTCTTTTTAAATGTTTTTTTGGCTTTATGCCAGATGTCACTGAAATTGTATATAGGACATTTCCAGATCATTTATAGATACTATTTATAGGTTTATTATTAGATTATAATAAGATCAATGATAAACCATCTCTTTTCAGTCTTATACACAGATGATACTTTTAAGTAAGGTAAAATTGCATTAGGAAACTTCATGAACTATAATATTTGCATTTAAGTTAGATATGCAAATTCTAGTAATAGTAAAACAAAAGGTAGTATGTTCATGCCCTCCCTTAAAAAAAAACAAAACTGCTCTCTGATATTAGAATTCCTTTTGGGTAGGTAATGATGAATGAGATGCAGTGTTTTAGAAATATGTCAAAAATAATGAGTCATGACAGAACAAAAAAATACAAACCTATAATTCTATTTGAGAATCTGGAAGCTCCCTTTGACAAAGCATTTTTTTTTCTCTTAAAGTACTACAAAGGCTACAAACATTATAGAAGCTTCTGAAAAAGCATATGTATATACATGTATATGTATATATATATACATATATATATACTAATTAGGGCATACATTTTATATCTCTCTCACATATTTAGAAAGTTTATTTTGGGAGAAAAAAAATTATTATGCTTCCTTATAGTAGTCCAGTAGTACCTGTCAATACATGCAAAATAAGCCATATAAAATACCCATATAATTCTGCTTCAAAAGGACATAGACAGAAATGATTTCTCTGAAAGCTACAGGTAGGCATTAATGTCAGGTTATGGCAAATGTAAACTTAAAGGTAAAAGGGGGTGTAATATCTACTTCAAGTAAACATTAAACATGCTTTTATTATATAAAATACCTTTTAAAATCTGCATGAAGAAAACCTGATTTTCTTTCCAATATAACAAAGTTCTTAAGATATTTTTTAAAATTCCTTTTTAATTGAGCTGCTCTAGTGCAGTTAAAGACACTATTTAAGAGAAAACATTAGAGAAACCCAATAAAATGTTTATCTGAAGATGTTTAATAAGTAAGCAAACATTGCTGAATGGAAGATCACTTTCTAGCTAAACTTTCCCCCCTCCCCACATTGCTACATATCATTTAAAATGACTGCATCTATATCTTTGAGAAAACAAACATAACTCATGTCATAAGATATACTTACCTAATCACTCTGGAGGTTAATGGTGGTGATGGGGGTCATAGACCAATATGAAGTAAAAGATCAGGTATGATTTAGAAAAGTAGTTCCTCTTTAATTATCCAAAGAATGCATTTTCAGGTTTGAATCAAAGGCAATCCATTCTCTCTACCTCTCATTTCAAACCACAGTCAAGAAGCAGTCTCCCGCCCTTCCAGAGAGAAATACAGCAGACACACATAAGAAATATGCTTTGGACCTGTCTTCAAAATTCAAAGCAAGAAGCAATGCTGGTCCTGTAGAAATCCAGACCCCAATAGCAGAATCATGTTGAACTTATTTTGTAGGATTTTTTCAGATCCTTCTATGAAATTTCCCGGCTGATTACGCCTCCTCCACACATGAGTTCACTTACACAGTGTTTGCTACGGCAGTAGAGGTGATTTGGCTAGGCTCTGTGGATCACAAACAGCAACAGCATGCTGTAGCTTAAAACCCGCTCCGCTGGCAATAACATCAGCATCATCCACAATATGTTGCTTGAGTCCTCTCTTACACACCAGAAAATACTAACTGTGGACGTGAAGGAAAGGAGCAACTTTAGCTGGGTTTCTGCATCACTGAGAGCAGTTTGCAGACTGCTGATTTGGAGCTCATTCTGCCGGCAGCCGGGAATTCCTCAGCACCACGGACAGCGCCAACTGGCTTCTGAACCCATCTCGGTCGAAATCCCCAGCTGCTTCTTTAGACCAGGCTAGTGTTCTCTAAGCAGTCGCACTTTATACAGCTGATGCCTGCATGGGGGGGGGGGGGGGGGGGGGGGGGGGGGCACTTTAAGTGCGAGATACTTATTTGCATTGAAATTACAATAAAAAAATAAACATTGTAATTATACTTAATGCGTTCCTGGATGGGCTGCAGAGATGAAAGTTCAGGAAGAGCATTGCATTTTGGTTTAAGCCAGTTCAGTTTCTGATTATTATTAATAGATAAAGCATAATCGTTGTCAAAGAATCTGCAAAAATGTATGCTCCCCAATTCTAATGGACTCTTTGGTTGAAGAAACACTTTCCATGTGCTACATGGTTAAACTTCAGGTCTTCCTGCAGCTTGAATTTGATTTTTTAAAAAGTAGCTTGGTTCTGCGGTTTGTTCTCTAACATTCCAAATCAATCTCCTGTAATTCATCTAGTCTGTCATTAGGCGTCATTGTAAAGCTGTTTCTTCCAAACCCCTAGCAAAAATGCTGTCTCTAAAATCTTATCAAAATAAGAAAAAAAGACCCAAACACAAATAAATGAACAGAAAGTTTTTTTTTTTATTATTGTTAACAGTATGAGCATTAAAATATATTTTCAAAGCATGTTTTAAAGCAGATTAGAAGTGTTACCTGCTGTCATATTTAACCAGGTATTTACTGGTTTGGGACTATGTGAGGCATTTTTAAGCCTTAAAGGGAATGCCCGCTGCAGTGGGATGTGCTGACATCAAGACCACATTCGAACAGTGCCCTTAGAGCCTCCGGAAAACAGACTCTCTCCATCATGAGAAAACACGACTGTGTGAGCTTCGTTCTCATGGCTCACCAATTTGTGAATCTGCCCTGATTTAAGATCCAGCAAATGAATAATCCCACTGCCACTCGCTTGGGCTAATACTCGACCTGAGAGGGGGGGGGGGGAGAGAGAGAGAGAGAGAGAGAGAGAGAGAGAGAGAGAGGAATATCAAAGTTTTATTTCAAGCAGTCACAGTTTCTAAGCAATGGAACATATAATTTTGTTTCCATTTTAATTCAACAGACTCATTCAATTTAGATATCAGTCATTAAATATGAATTAGCTTCTGTTTGTATAGAAAATAATTCCAGTCAAAATGAAAACATGTGGATGATTAAATTACAAAAATTTAAAATGAAAAAGTAAAACCTAATGTTTTACTCACATTCTATGCAGAGGCCATCAAAAGCTCTGCTAGTTTCCTTAAATTGGGGGTTAATAATTTTGAGGAGTTGAAAGCACTAAGCAACACAGCTTTTCTTTTTAAGTGAAGTATTTGTGAAAAATTGTTTTAAAAAATAGACTTCAAATGTATCTATGGCAAATACACATGTATATAGTGTATAATTTATTTATATTTTAAAATTTGTATTATGATTAAGCTTTTTCTCATAATTATACTGTTACTTAAGGCTATAATAATACATTTATGCTTTAAAAACTGTGACACTTATTAACTCAACAAATTTCTTTGGAGTTGAAGTGAAAATATCTCCATTTCAAAAATGACCAGTTTTTTTACTCTATAATTCAAAATTTTGTTAAATTTTTGTTACTAAGAGAACTGAATGCAACACAGAGTATTCTCATAATTTTATACCATATATTTTTGAGTGAATAATTTTGGTAAAGGGAAGAAAATATCAGCAATCTAATTCTAACTAATACTTTTATTTTTAAAAGTTCAGTAGCAAACTATCAGGAAATTTGGAGGTAAGTAAAAGCAATAGATTATATTTACATAAATTCAGTGTGTGGGGTAAATAAACATAATGGTACTATTCATGGGATTAGCTAATAAAACTTCAAAAGCATAAAGTATAATTTTAGTATACATATTTAAAATCCTTAGGTCGCTGGTTTGATTCCTGCTTGAAGGACTTCGTACAACATTTTGGCCCTGGCTGGTTTAGCTCAGTGGTTGGAGCATCAGCCTGTGGACCAGAGAGTTCTGGGTTTGGTTCCCGCTAGGGGCAGGTACCAAAAAAATGAAAAATAAAAAATAAAAATTCATTAAACTTCTCAACATGCTAGATACTGGATTTAGCTACATAATATGGATAATTTCATATGATCCTTATAATAACATAATAATAAAGAATAATAGTAACTCCATTATATAGATAAAAAAAGAGAGGTTTGGAAAAATCAAGAAACTTGCTTGAGATGATACCCTGTGTATGAAGGGACCTAGCAGGCAATCACAAGCACTTTGAATTATGTTTTCCCCATCCAGCTAACATTGTTATCAATGATGCCTTCTTGACAAATTTTAAGTAGATGATATATTGTGAAAATAAAATTTGTCTATTCCATCATGAAAATTCTATGATATCACCATAAAAGTTTCAGTAAAATATTTAGTCACACATTATACTAAAAATTGTCATGAATATCTCTAAAACAGAAAAAAAGTTATAAAAATAAAGCTAACCATGATAAATATAGCTTATTTGCAAACCTTTATAACTACTGGGCTTCTTCATCTAGAACAAAGCCTGACACAGCAAAGATTCCTTACGATGGATTAAAGTGTCCAAAGCAGCAGATGTGAATATTTATTATAAACCCTCTTCTACAAAGTCTTTGCTGACAGAGGCATTGCATATAGATTTCACTTCCTGCCTCTACAGGCAAATGCTGCTTGTGACTTTTCCAAGAATAAAACAAATAACTTTTTTTTCATAGTCTTCATGTAACAGCTAAGAAGGGAGTAAATATTGACTACTATTTTTGAAACCAAACAGAATCAAAGCCCATAAAGAAAAAAATGAAAGAATTAGCATTAATTCATTATCTTTTGTCCAAGTCAAATATATAAAATTTATAATTAGAAATAATTATAAAGGTTCTTGGTGATTTCAGAAAATTTGTTTAATAACATGGAGAAAATGATAATACTGGAATGTAATGATAGGATAATACAATTCAGTGGCACAATGCCAGAGGTGTTTTTTTAAATGTTGTCTTTGCTAGAACAAATTTGAGTCATCAAGTTTATGATATGGTTTCTTAGGTTTACTTGAACTAAGGGGTATAAATTTATAATCATGTTTAATTTTATTAAAAGTATATTGGATTAAGGTGAAGATGGCCCAGAACAAAAGGTACAAGAAGACCCAGAACTCACCTGCTCCCATGAACACACAACTAACATACACCTACACATAAAACAATTCCTCCTGAAGAACTGAGGACTGATTGAACAGCTTCTGCACAAGAAATGAGAGAGGAACCACATAGAGAAGGATAGGAGAAATGGAGACACGATAGTCATGGCAAGCCCACTCTCACAAGTGACTTGTAGTAGGGAGAAATATTACTGAGGGGCCCTTGCGGACAGACTAACCTATTCTAGGGTATAACAGTACAATAGTGACTTAAAAGGTTCTTAGACTATATGTGAAAAAATTCTACTTACTGGCCCCAAGGGCCAGCCAATCAGGTAGAGAACTGCAGGAACTTTCAGAACTTGTGGAAACTCTCTAGGATTAGAGGTGTTTGTGAGCACCATTTTTATATTTCCCATCCACCTAGACAGTGTGGATGGGAGCTTGGTCCTAGCACTCTAGCCATGCCCCTCAGGAGCCACACACACCCACTTAAGCTTCAGCTGGCCTGCCAAAACCACTCAGCATACAAAGTCTACAAAAAGGTTGCTCCTACTCAAGTCCACTTTTTCAATATTGTCAGAGATAGCTCTTTCATCTAATATGTGAATACAAACACAGAAAGTAAAACAAAATGAAAAGACAAAGCAGTATGTTCCAAATTAAAGAACAGGAAAAAAAAGAAAAGAAAGAAACAGAATGAAAACCACCAATGAAGTGGATATAACTAATATTACTGATAAAGAACTCAAAGTAATAGTCTTAGGGATGCTCACAGAATTTGGGAGAAGAATAGAGAAACTCAGTGAGAACATAAAGAGTTAGAATATATAATACAGAATAATTCAGAGGTGAAGAATATAATATCTGAAATTTTATATATATATATTTGAAATTATATATATCTGAAATATCTATCTATCTATCTATCTATCTATCTATCTATCTATCTATCTATCACTAGAGGGAATCAACAGTAGGTTAGATAATACAGAAGAACAGGTTATTGACCTGGAAGACAGAGCAGTACATATCACCCAATCAGAAAAGTAAAAAGGAAAAAAAAGAATTGAAAATGACAATAGTTTAAAGGACCTTAATGGCTAAAACTTTCCTAAAGTTGGGAAGGAAGCAGACATCCAGGTTTAGGAAGCACAGAGAGTTCCCAACAAGATGAACCCAAATAGACACACACTAAGACATGCTGTAATTAAAATGGCAAAATTAAAGAGAGAGCTTTGAAGGCAGCAAGAGCAATAAAACTAGTCAGATACAAAGAAAATGCCATAAGGGCTTTAGTTGATTTCTCAGTAGAAACTTTGTAAGCCAGACGGAAATGGCAGGATATATTTAAATTGCTGAAATAAAGAAATCCACAACCTAGATTATTCTACCTGGCAAGGTTATTATTCAAACTTGAAGGAGCATAAGAGTTTTCCAGGAAAGCACAAACTAACATTCATCACCACTAAATGTACTTTACAAGAAATGTTAAAATATTTTTAAGTGTGGAAAAAAGAGCCATAATCAGAGGTTAAAAATATATATATACATGAAAAAAAAAATCTCACAAGTAGAGGCAAATATGTAGTAAAGACAGTGGGTCAGTCACGTAAAAAGCTAGTGTGTTAAAACACAAAGTAGCAAAATTCTATATAAACACAATAAGTAAATAGGAAACACACAAAACAAAAATATGATGTCAGAAACAAAGTACGAAGAAGCGAGTAAAAATGTAGTATTTTCAAAATGCATTCCAACATAAATGCCATCAGCCTAAAATAGACTGTTATATATCTATATATCTATATCATCTATATCTATATAATAGTATATATTATATAATATCCATCTATATAATAGATATATTATCAATATCCATATCGATATCTATATACCTAGTCTATGTAAATAAATATATCTATATAATATCGCTCTATACAATATATATCTATATAAGATATAGACAGAGACATAGATATAAAGATACTGACATAGATATAGATATATTTATCTAGACTCTAGATAGACAGATAGATAGATAGATACCATAGATATATATAAACCTCATGGTAACCGCAAAGCAACACCTACAAAAGATACACAATAAATAAAGAGAAAGAAACCCAAACTTAATACTAAATAAAACCAGCATATCACAATGGAAGGGAAAAAGAAAAGAAAAAAAAAAAACAAACAGCAAAACTACAAAAACAACAAATAATTAAAATTCCAATAAATACAATAATATATACCTATAAATAATTACTTTAAAGTAAATGAATTAATGCCTAAATTAAAAGACTTAAGGTGGCTGAATTGATTTTTTTTTTATCCTCACCTGATAACATTTTTCCATTTTTTTGTTCAGATAGAGTGGGAGGGAGAGGGAGGGAGAGAGAGAGAGAGACATCAATGTGAAAAGGACACATTGAGTGGCTGTCTCCTGCACACATGACCCAACCAGGGCCGGGGACAATAGAAGTACGTGCCCTTAGCGGGAACCAAACCCAGGTCTCTCTGGACCACAGGCTGATGCTCTAACCACTGAGCAAAACCGGCCAGGGCCGAATGGATTTTTTAATAAAAAACAATAAATAAGACATCTATATGCTGCCTACAAGAGATTCCATGCAGATCAAAAGACACACAGAAATTGAAAGTGAAGAAGTGGAAAAAGATATTCCAAATAGAAACAAAAAGAAACCTGGGGTAGCAATCCTTATATAAAACACAATAGGTATTAAAACAAAGACTGTAAAGCCCTGGCCTGTTTG